GATTATAAGTTGATGTTGAAAATAAAGTTTGTCGATACAATTTAATTGTTTCAGATTGGAGGCCATAACTTCAACAATTTGTAACCTAGGAGAAAAGTTATTGTAAGCTTTTTTGTTTAAAATTTGATGCTTTAACAGAAAAAAATATAATATACAGGGGTTTCCATTTAAAAAAATGTTATTTTACTGAAAAAAATCAAAATAACGACTCTCAATTGTTTTTTTTTATTTCTCATTTTTACCAGCGTTAAAAATGCTACTAGTTTGCTAATTCAAACAACTTTGTATTTTCACTAATAACAAAGTTACTAATGGTGGACACTTAATTTGGATAACCCTGTATATATAAAGAGAATATGATCATGCGGAGAAATGTATATAACAACAAGTAGGAAAATAATGGGCAAAATCCGCAAAAAGGAGGAAAGTGGAATCGAGCAGAAAATAGAGGATAGGTAACCCGAGCGATACGTATTTCTGCTGGTTGGCTTCATCAGGCCCGAAATGAATGCACATATGAAACTACAAAAGTAGATACACATGCCCACACATCCGGATACGGGTGTAACCTGAGGAAACGAAGTTGGAGGAAAAAAAAACGACACACGAAGTCCACAACAAGAGCCAACCTACACATTGTAGTATAAAATGGCTATACGACCTCGAATTTTCAAGGAGACGTCTAACCACCACCACGCGGCCGGTTATAGCCACTTGCTGTGGTACTTCAAGCCCCACTAATGGCGTGCCACCAGATCATGCCTAAAACCACATTTGTAGCTGCGTTCCTTCTGGTGGTCCTCACCTTGTGTGGTATACAGTCGGTCCTCACATTGTATGCAAGCAAAAAAAATATATATATAAATATATACCTGTATATATATATTGTTTTTAAAGTTGGAACTGTTCAATACACAGAAATAAGTTTTTTCAAAAACCAGTAAATTCTCCTCGTAACAGATACACCAAAAACTTGAAACAACCAAGAATAAGGTTCCGAAAAAAGCAGAAAAACTAAATCCGAACCTGTCTCTTCAGTGAAGTATCAGCTAAAACGTACTATATGCATCAGTATTCAACTCATACGCCGTATATGTACGAGCCTCTTCCCACTTCAGTTGGCCCAACTATTGAAATCTTAGTTTTTTTCTTATCAAACACAAATAATAAAAATGTAGCAGGGTGTTATAGGTTTAAAATATTAACAATGAATATTTTGATAATATATAGTAGAAAACACCAACTTTATCACTCCCTAATCAAATTTGCAGCATAAGAATAACACATGTTGCAATTACAGCATATCAACCTATTTTCATTTCAATGCAAAATAAGTCTATAACGCATAGGTGACTGTGAAAAATAAAAGCCATGACAATTGTTTTTATTAATCACAGCAGTCAGAATACGTTTAAAATAGTTTTGGGTAGTTAAGGTTTTCAAAATGGGTAGAGAAAAGGTTATTAGTGAGAAAATTCGGTTACTGATAATTAAATATTTAATTCTAGGAAATCAAACTCAGAAATTGCAACTTTGTTAGACTTATCGCGGTACAGTGTGAGAAATATTGTTAGAAGATATAACGTAACTGGTTCAGTTATTGTTAGGCCACGATATGTGAAAAAAAGTAATATCACAAATGCCGGCCAACCCAGATAATGCCCACTAGTGGTGGGCAAAAAGTAAGTAAAAGTCAGAAGTATCCGATACTTTTTGATAAATGTATCGAATACTGTAATAAATACTAACAATCTGACTATACATACTATAGTGTAGACAGAGAGTGACAGAAAAATAATGTACGGTTATGGCCAAATAATTTTCAACAGCTGTGGATGTCCAAGTATCTGTCGTAATCGTCAAATACTCCGAATTTTTTTGTAAATTCTTTACTTTCTAAACAACCTCATCATATGTTTGGGGCAACAAACTGTTGCTTAAAGTTTTTCTTGAAGGAAGTTTATAAGCAGGATCAAACTCTTCTAACAATTCTCTGAACCCTTCATCTTCAACAATTGTAAATGGCTGCATGTCTTTTATAATCATGTTTAAAACTTTTATATGCAGGTTCTTAGTACGAGGAATAGACATTGGCTGCGTAGCAAAAGTCGATATTTTAGATTGTTTTGATGAGGGAAAAGGCATTCGTCTTTTGCTTGTCCTTATCAATTTTTTTGTTGAGTCATAAGCCGAACTTCCTGGGGTGACTTCTGACTTCCAAGGTGTAGAAGAAGTTGATGGTCCGGGTATTTCCTCCAACTCCGCAGATGTTCTTAAAGACGAAGGAGACGGAAGATCTTGCGTTATTACCGAAAAATGCTTCGCCTTCAAATGTTTCCTCAAATTGCAGGTTGCACCACTTTTATAGGATAAGAAATTTTGACAAATATCACACTGCTTTATTTGAATCAATTGCATTGAAATACAACCAAACACCACTTCTTCTTTTATCACTCATATTTTATTATATTTTGAAAAAGAGAATATATTACATAATACATTTTGATTTCTAACACTTAACTGAAGCAAAAGGATGAAATTAATTTCTGGTTACAAAAGCCCAGAATTTATATTTTATTTTTAACCAATATTGTAACAATAACAAACATAGCAATGTATACTAAGTGACATATAATTCCGAACACCCAGTTTAAATGGTTTTATTTTAATAAAAGTTGGTGAATGTATTTATCTTACTGTAAATAACAAGTGAAAAAATGTTCAGCCTTATCAGTTGGACATTCCGGTTTTTATACTGCTTTTTTTTAATTCACTAACGCTCTAAAAATGAATATTACGGAGACCTGTACGATTTCGTCAACTTAGTGAGTTTGATAGGGGCCGTATAGTGGGACTTCGGGAAGCTGGACTTTCTTTTCGGGCAATTGCAGTTAGAGTGCAAAGAAGTGTAGACACTGTGGTTAGGTGTTGTCAGGCATGGCTTCGAGAAGGCCGTACGCAAAGAGCAAGGGGCACTGGATGCCGCCGTAGAACAACAGACCGTGAAGATCGCCGCCTAAGATTATTGGCCTTAAGGGACCGTTTCTCCACTACCAGGTCCATTGCAAATGAATGGTTTGCAGAACACGGAAGACCTATTGGCATGCGAAGTGTTTACCGACGAATGAGAAGTTTTGCCTTGTTTTCATACCGGCCACACTGGGTCCTCCCTTTAACTCGAGAACACCGACGTAATCGCCTTGAGTGGTGCAGACAACGGTCACTCTGGGATCAGGAATGGAACAGTATTGTCTTTAGTGACGAGTGTCGATTTTGTTTAGGCATGCACGATGGTCGTGCCAGGGTTAGAAGGCGACGTGGTGAAAGGAGGAATCCACAGTTTTTTGTTGAAAGACATGTTCATCACACTGTTGGAGTTATGGTTTGGGATGCTATAGCTTATGGTTCCAGGTCACCTTTAATCTTCATCAGAGGTAACATGAACGCGCAGCGTTATATCCACGCAGTTCTAGAACCCCATCTTTTACCCTATCTTGACACCCTGGCAGATCCAACTTTCCAACAAGATAATGCCCGACCACATGTTGCAAGAGTCACAATAGACTTCTTTCAATATAATGATGTCACATTGTTACCATGGCCACCAAGATCTCCCGACTTATCCCCAATTGAGCACGTGTGGGATATGATGGGTAGGAGATTGCTCAATTTGCAACGTCCTCCTCAGACTCTAGAAGCACTTCGAGAGGAGTTGGTGGTTGCCTGGAATGAGATACCACAGGAGGACATTGACCACCTGATCAGAAGCATGCCTAGGCGCGTTGGAGAATGCGTAGCACATTAGGCTGCATCCACACATTATTAAAGGTCAAGGGGCTTTAAAGCAGTGCAATCATTTTGAAATTTTTATCATTTACTTATTATGCTTCATTAAGTACTTATACAAAATTTTATTAAAATAAAACCATTTAAACTGGGTGTTCGGATTTATATGTCACTTAGTATAATTTAAAATTCAGGGTATCGCTCATCAGTCATCACCAATCAGACATTTCTATAATTTCTAGTCTATACTCGATGATACCTACTTATAGGAGACCGAGACCGCATAATAACAGTAAACAAACAGTAAGCAATAAATTCGAAGGTCGGGGCCTGGATCAGCGACATAAAGACACGAACAGCATTATTATTATTTATTATTATTATTTCACACTAGCAGTATTAAATTAACGGATACTAACGCCAATTAATCGAGCCGATACTTGGTATCGGTATTGCATACTCAGTATGGGATACTTACAGATAAAGTATCGGTATCTGTTCGATACTTGCAAAAGTATTGATTACCCACCACTAATGCCCACTGTACTACATATAGTACACCCATAAAAACGCACCCCACACTCCAGTTACGCAAGTAGCGATATTATGTGTTGCCTACATCCGTCAAGCAAGAAACGGTATCTATGAATGTAGCTAAAAAACTAACGCTAACTGTGGTGAAGAGTATTTATTCCGATTTAGATCCCTCGAATTTGTGATCATGGCCGAATATGGTGTACACTTTGCCCGGTGAGTAATTTTGATTGCTACAGAGTTCAAATATTTTCGGTTTATATATTGAAATATGTACATAAACATCTGATTTATGGATGTAAATGTGTCAAAGTAAATTCAAAGTAGGCAAAAGGTCACTTTAGACCCTTTTTTTGAAGCGTACTATATGTAGTACGGTGGGCATTTATACGACTATGAACATTTCCATTACAGAGGCTTTTCTTTGGAGGAGGCCTTGGCCATGCTAGATGAGGACGACGATATGGCGGAAAAAATAGAGACCTTGACAACTTTGCCGCCAGATAATGAATCTGGAAATTATACTGATGAAGATTCAGGTGAGGAGTATGCATTTTCCATAGATAACCTACCCGGAAACCAAATTCGAGCCCCTGCGGAAATAAGATATCGTGATAATGACGTAAGCTCTAGTGCTTCCCAAATAGATCATGACTTTTCTTCGGAAGACGAAATTCCTCTTATACACCTGAGAGAAAAAAAATCACAAAAACAACATAGTGGTAAAACGGTTCCAAAAAAGAGCTACAAGTGGACAAACGACGACCTCTTTCCTAGTCCTAGTGATGGAGCCTCGAATGCAGCTATCATCGATCAGGCTGATGAAGTAAACTCTGAAAATCCTCTGAATTTATTTTCACTATTTTTTGATGAGGAAATAATTGAAGTCATAGTAAGAGAAACAAACCTTTATGCAAGTAAAAAGAACCATCACGTTAGAATAGAGAATTATGAAATAAAAGCGTTTATTGGTATTCTGCTGCTTAGTGGGTATATTTCAGTTCCAAGAAGAAGAATGTTCTGGGAGTATGAAAGAGATAGTCATAATCAGCTAGTTGCTGGTGCTATGTCACGTAACAAGTTCGAATTCATTTTATCTCATTTCCATTTAGCAGACAACACGAAAATAGATGTCACCGATAAATTTGCGAAAGTTAGACCTCTGATTACTCATCTGAACAAAAAGTTTCTACAAAACAGCTCATGTGAAGAGATGCACTGTGTCGATGAGGCTATGATTCCATACTTTGGTCGCCATGAATGTAAGCAATTTATTCATGGTAAGCCAATACGGTACGGGTACAAGCTATGGGTGGGTGCAACCCGATTAGGATATGTCAATTGGTTTGAACCATATCAAGGTGCATCAACCAATATTAGTCTTCAGTATGCTGCTTATGGAGTGGGCCCGTCCGTAGTTCTAGAGTACACAGACGTTTTGAAGCAAAGATGGCCAAATGAGAAAATGCATATTTACTTTGATAACTTTTTTCAACCACACCTCTCCTAGAAATACTCACAGAAAAGGATATCAGGGGTACGGGTACCATCCGTGAAAATCGGATCACTAACAGTCCTTTGACGGATTCGAAGACCATGAAGAAAAAAGCAAGAGGTCATTATGATTATAAAAAGGTCGAAGACAAAAATATTATCATCGTCAAGTGGCACGATAACAGCATAGTAACATTATGCTCAAATTATGCAGGTGTGAATCCGATTCATTCCATGAGAAGATTTTCTCGTCAAGAGAAGAAAATCATACAGGTAAAGTCAATAGCTTTTTTTTACAAATTCAAGTGGGTACAAGTTTTAACTTTTTTGTATGGTCTGTTTATTGTTTACTAATCTAGTTTGTATTTGGTTCTGTATAAAAAATAACGAAAATTATTACTATTATAAATAATTTCAGGTGCAGCAGCCGCATTTGATCAATCTGTATAACGCGAATATGGGGGGTGTAGATAGATACGACCAGAACATCAGTCTCTATCGTATATCTATAAGAGGTAAAAAGTGGTATTTTCCACTCATCCCACACTTCATAGACACAGCAGTGCAGAATGCTTGGCAACTACACAGAAGACGAGGTGGTAACTTGGACCAATTAGGATTTAGGAGGAGAATAGCCACAGCATTATTATTACAAAACAAAAAACAAACCACATCAAGAGGGCATATGTCAAGGGAAGAAGGAATAGATATTCGCTATGATCATACAAATGATCTGGTTATACCCCAAGATAAACAGACCAGGTGTGCACACTGCCATGATAAGACCATTACTAGATGCAGCAAGTGTGATAAAGGATTACATGTGAAGTGTTTCGTGCTTTATCACACACCTAAAACGAATTAGATGGTTGCCTATATGCCCACCGTTCTATATGTAGTACGGCTAACAAAGAACAGTTTTCCAATAATAAATTTAATTTTTTTTGTAGAACATGTTTATTTATCACAAAAAACCCCACCAGGCTCAAAGAGTGCTCTTTATTAATAAATGTTTATGAATGGGCATAACTGGGTTAAGAAGAATAATCGTGAAAAACAGGCGTGCCAATTATTTATAATTAAGTGCTCTGTGGAGTGACGCTGTTGGATGGAGAATTTCGAGGTCCACAACTCATAGAGAGGGCCACAACCTGGGATTTAGCACTTGCAAGGTAAATTTTCTTATAAAAAAAGTGAAGTAAAAACCCTAAAGTTGCACAACTTGTTTATAGGCCAAAGAAAAGCCACTACTAACTCCACTGCAAAAGAAAAATCGGCTTAGATGGGCTAAAGAACATAGACAATGGACACCTCAACAATGGTGTGCAATACAATGGAGTGATGAGGCCCGATTCGAAGTTTGTGTTGGTGACAGTCGCAGTAGAGTTATTCGCAAAAAAATAAGCATTCCATGTTGACTGTCTGAAGAGAAAAGTGAGATTTCCAGCATCCATTATGGTCTGGGGCAGTATGTCATCAAAAGGAGTAGGAAAACTTCATTTTATTCCAGCCAAGATTTTGTGTTTCAGCAAGATGGTGCAGCGTGCCATACCTCAAAAAAGGCTATAAAATGGATGGAAGAAAATGTACCACTTTTGAAATGGGTTTCTAGCAGTCCAGATCGGTCACCTATTGAAACACAAGATGAAAAAGGTTCTACGACAACATCCTGCTCGTACAATCACCGAACTGAGACAAAAGCTTCAAGAAATATGAAATTGTATTACACCATATTTTTGCCAAAACTTGGTTAACACTATGCCCCAAAGAATTTCAGCCGTAATAAAAAATAAAGGTGATGTTACCCAATGGTAATCTTTCAATTGTTGCTTTGTTAACTTGTGATGTTCTAATAGCTATAGGTCTAAGTGATTTCAAAAATGTATTTTTTACGACTAGAGTGTATCTAAAATGTTTTTGAGAAAATAAATTGCTTTAGAAGTAAATAGTTTCGTCATGTTTAGTTTATAAAGGCATATTTTGGTACAAATCTTGAGGTGGGCCAACTGAAGTGGGAGGGGCTCGTAGATAATCTAAGCTAATTGTTAACAAAATTGATATCATGTTAGTATACGGTATCTTCAAAATGTGCTGCCGAGGCTTTCAAAGTGCATTCAGATCGCTGGACGTTTGCATCACGTGGCGCTCCGATTTGCTTATCTCATACAGAGTTAGAGTTACGGGCTGCTTGCAGGTATGTCGAGGCTGGCACAGTGGCAGACCGAGACAACCCCAACTGTTGGGAACGTCGATTCGATACTTGTGTTTTTGGAGCTTCGAACAGTATTTTATATCACAGGATGGACCTTTTTCTCACTAAATACGGCTTACGACTTTGTCAACTGATCACAGAACGACAAAATGTCACGTGACCACGCCAATTTGTCAAATTCAAATTTCACTGCGAAATTCAAATCTTTCGCGCAGTTTTTACACTTGAATTGGCTTTGCTGTTCTATTCAGATCGCCAACTGATCTACGGTAAAAGGATCTTGGGACTGCCCGTTAGAGAAGCGTAATTAGTCGACCGGAGACTCTTCCCCTGAACAGCGTCGAGAATGGACAGTGTTAAAGTAAATCACATCTTATCCTCAACAGCTGATACGATTGAGGAAATTTGTTCATGTCAAACCAATTCCTAGGTGATCTAGACACCGACCAGCCTAACAAATGTCTTTTTAGCAAAACTCGATCAAACATAGCAGCTGGATATACGCTACAGCGCTTCTTGTTAGTCAAGGTACATTACTGTATTTTTAAAGCATTCAGCTGTACCAGATTGTTACGACCCCAAGCAGTGATAACTTCTTAAACTCTGGTCAAAGCGAATGCCGCTACCAGTCTCCTTCTCTCTAACCCATCAAAAGACATCGGCTTAGTATCCTAAATATCTGCATGTAAAGTGCTGTCATTAGCAAAACTAATCGGACTGATCGTACAGGAGAGGGGTCATTGGTATGTAAGAGAAACAGTGTTGGATCCAAGAACGATACCACGAAAATTGTTGCATGCATTAATAACAAGGAGGCACCAATAAAAGAATTTTGAACTAAGATCTACACTTACTGGTTACCACATTCAAATGCTCGAAGTTGCACGTATACTTTGCCAAATTTACTTACCGCTAACATAATCGTTTCTTGATACAACTCAAATATCTTTCTTCAACGAAAACGTTTTTAAAAAGATTCATTTTTGAGAATAACCAAATACAATGATGTTAATTGAATGAGTTCTGAATCGAGACTGACTGCAAAGTTCATTATACAAACCAAAGTAAAGAACAAATGAAATACAATACTGTAACTGATAAGAAAGGAACGTGGAGGCAAAAGTCCTTGTTCAGCATATTCTTCTCTATAGACTGGTACATAACTTCTCCACCCCTAGAATGAAGCTTCCCCTGGAAGGTGAATTTCTTTCTTCTTATATCTTGAACTGGAATCTTCTCTTCTAGTGCGTTTGGTGGGACTTGGACCTTCTTCTTTCATCTCGGCTAATTCAATGTCGATTTCTAACTTGGATGCTTTCTTGTTTCTCCATCTTCTATATAAAATTATGCAGCAGATGCTTGAAAATACGACATATAGTAATATGGTGCAAATACTGGGTTTTCCAAAATTTTCTATGGAATTTTCTTCTAAAATTGGTAACATTTGATTAACTTGTAATTCTGGTAAATTTAACGTTTTCAGAGTAATTTGTGTCTCTGGGATATTTTGTTTCATAAAATGGAAATCCATTTTGTCAGCTACGAGGGGCTTTCCATAGGTTTTGTCTTGATAGATAATTTCATTGTATTGGAATGATATTTGGCATTCACTGGCTTTGACTAAGAAAATTACAAGTAATGACTTTGTATCGATTTGCTCCTTGCATTTAATTTTCAATTTTTCTTCGGTGAGAAATACAGCTAAATACTGGTTAATTTCGGGAATAAATTCAATGTGATTTTCTTCAATCTGAAGCTTCGTGTATCTACATGGCTCTGTATGATCTTCTGTAATTATTGACATCTCGCATTGGGCTTTGTAATTGGCTAATATACGATTAGGACATTGATAGATTCTACCTTGGATACAAATCTCGTGCAGGGGTTTGATCTCATTTCGATCAGATTTTAGCAAATACTTATAATTTGGGATAATAGTGTCGAATTCTGATTTATGCATCAGAGTCGGTATGGGTAACATA